AACATTGCACGGTAGAATTAATCTGATGCGAAACTATATCCAGAGAAAGTTTTGGTTATTTGGGCTAAGATATTGTTTAAAGAAAAATCTTAGCGAGTGTGTCACCTGTGCTAGGATTGACTAGAATATTGCAGAACAAATTATGGGAAATCTTCCGAAACACAGAGCTACAATGTCGCAATATCGTAGGTATTTGGGAAGCTGGGGTAAAATCAGTGAAATATCACTTAAAAATAGTAATTGGTGACGATAATTTAACCTATGAGGAAATGGCAACTCTATTATGGCAAATAGAATCGGTATACAGCTAAAAATTATTTTGCCGATCTGGATGTATTAACATATAGAACATATAGGGCATTTTATTATTGGAAGGCCAATATTTGTCCCGATTGAAACAATTTCAGAGGAACAAATCGGAAATCTGGATAGGTGGATATTAATTCAGAAAATGAAAAGACAATTTTGGATTCAATGGAAAGAAGATTATTTGCACACACTGCAACAAAGAAATAAATGGAAAATAGGAATGCAGAATATTAAAAAAAGGAAAAATTGTATTAATAAAAGATGAAACCTGTCACCCAGCTAGATGGCCCTTAGGAAAAATAGAAGGAATATATAAAGATAGGGACGATAGAGTCAGAGTAGTAACTATAGAACATCAAGACGGGTTGATAAAACGACATATAACTAAAACTTGTCCATTAGGTAGAATTGAGCCAGAAGAGCAAGACTCAGAAATGAATCCAAAAGAAACCAAAAGATCATTTAAATTGCTTAAATAGAAAGATAGCAGAGACAAGGTCATTTTGGGTCAAATTAGAAAGACAGGGTAGTTGGCTCTTCAAAGTTACAATAAACACTAATGCTAGAATTCAATGTAGTAACTCAAATCAATAACTAATTGATCTTCCGCAACAAGGAATTTTAGCAATAATAAATGGTTATACTTTGCGAGCCGATGATAAGTATGATAATAAAATATAAAGTTTCAGCCCAAACGACAACGACAAGATACGATATTTGGCCAATGGTTGCTATGGCAGCTGTACTATATATTGCTCTGATCGGATAGATTTTTGTTTGCGATTTATAACATTAAAATATAATCAAGCCCCCAAAAATTCAGCCCGATTGGTTAATATTTAAGCCAACAATAGGTATGAAAGCAAGTTAATCGAAAACGCACAGTTTATAGCTGTTTCCACTGGTTTTTGGGTTCTACATCCATTGAAGGAGGTATTTGGTATTTTTCCCGATAGGCTTCCATCACACATGCAGCAGTCAGCTTGATGACTAGAAAGCAATAAAATTCCGTCTGCAGTCCATCCGCAGTCAGCATCCCACTACCTAATTCGTTGGAAAGGTAAACGGAGGAAAAAGCCAGTGTGACCGTTCCTCTCCTCAGCTTTTGGGAGAATGGGAGAAGTGCCATTGGAATCACTCATTGTTTGAGAGCCTTTACCAAATAACCCGAGTTGATCCAATAATTGAATTCCAGCCAAAGCTCGAGCCCTTTCCGTCTATGACGACAATAGTGGTTACAAAAAAAAAAAATTCTTTCTGCTCTTTTTGTGGTGTCCGTATCCACTCTCCGTATCCACTTTCCATATCCATCCAAGGTTGTGGCCAATCGTCCCACACTTCCGCATCCGATTTGGAGATATTTTTCTGCGTATGATTGCCTAATATGCCAACAGGTCGAGAGAAGACCAAAAAACCTTTGCCGGTGAACCCTCAAAGTTTGAAAAGTCCACGAAGATCTTCCGCCCTAGAAACGGCCACCTCGGTGACTCGCAAAGTGAAGTCCTCAGGTACTCCAGGGTCCACCACAAACTCCGCTGGTTCGACGACCAAATCGGTCCTGTTCCCGTCGCCGGTCACGCTGAAAGTGCCAGTTCGTACTCAAAACAGTACAATCAGCGCTCGACACACCATCGCAATGGCCCAATCCGCTGTCTCCTAAGCGCGGGCCAAATTTGTGCAGCCATCGATCGGCTGACCAATTTGGAAGCCCGACTTACCACTCCCTGTACCAGCACTTTGTCCGCCCAGACCAACTGCAAAGCATGTGGGCAAAGGTGGATGCGGAGTTCGGGGCCTGTTCCATAGCATTGGTGGACGAGGATCCAAAGGCCAAGAAAGTCCTCCAAGACATGTATGGCGATTGCTATGAGCGTTATAAGCAGTGCATAGCTGATCTCACTGATCAGCTACAACAATCAGCACCACGTACTTTCGCACAGCCAGACTTCCACGGCGGCTTAACCGCACTGGCACCCCCCAGGGTCTCAACCGAAAATTGGGACAGCTTGCTGGTAACTATTTGCGCCTCCAAATTACCGAGGGGCATGGGCTTTGTGGGATGATTCCGTCACCAGAAAGAAAGAAATGATAGAATTCTTCCTCAGCCAGTGATATGTGATGCTCGAAACCATCGAGGGCAACCCGTCCGCTTTACACAGTTCGAAATGCGATTCAAATTCAAAGGAAGTCCTTATCCTAGGAGGGTTCACTCGTTCCAGACCACAGTGAATCCAAAGAGGAGCACGTGTGATCTCCGCTACGAAGAGAATCACCCTATCCGGCTATGCCATCACTTCCTCCAGATGAACGCTGATGCTCTTTTCAGCTGCATCAAACAAAGACAGCTTTATCTCAACTGCTCCGCACGATGCCATCAGATCCGGGAATGCCAATGTGCCCATAGCTGCATTACGTGTGATGACCGACACCACACGCTGCTGCACCGTGGCAATCCAATTTCCAGGGAATCCACTTCGGCAGTCGTACCAAATCCGAGCTCTTCCGACGCGCCGCCCAGCTTTCAAAATTATTTCGCCTTCGGCCAAAAAGCTGTCCTTCTGGACACGGCAATCATTAATATTTGCCCGCGTTTTAATCAACCCGCGATCCGAGACAACGTTTATCACGGAACGTCTCTTCAATAGAATCAAGTTTCCGTTCCAGCTCATCCTGGCACAGGTCTTCGGCCTCAATCAGACTGGACGGTTTTCGAAGGGTTAAAACTACAAAGATAGTGAGAGCTCTCTAACTGCGATTGCCCACTCGAAGAACGGCTTCGTTTCATGCTAGGGCGGCGTAACCTCGTCTCCGATCACCAAGAACATTATTCGTTTGCGTTTCGACGAAATCACAGCAACAATCAAGCAGTTGCAGCTGGCCGCGCTTAAACCCGTATTACCCATTAAACTGTACCCTATACGCGATTACGATTAAAGTTTAAGTTGATTGAAGTTCAAATGAATAAATCTCGAATTCTCTATATCGTGAAGTACATTATTAAACGCAAAGATTACCCATAGCATTTCTGCTCAACATTGAAATCTCGTATCGAGGATTTCACAACACAGACAGTATCCGCTCAATCCAAGAAGCTCTGTCATTTGGCCATCCGTTCCCGACGATGCCGGGCTTGCACTTTGACGATACAGCCTACGTTCTGCCAGAACTGGCGTGTAACCTGCCATCCTATCCGATCACGCAAAATTCGTTGCAAGACCTGGCGAACCTGGCATGGGCGGATCCGACATTCGACTGGGTACGCACAGGCCCAGTGCCTAAGGTGACGAATCCAATCTCATCGTTTTCGCGTCAAATTTCCAGACAACCTTTCAAACGAGTAAAAGACTCGGGCTCCTTTTACAAACGCAATTTCCTTCCAGCTCCCTCCGCAGAATTTCTCGAACGGCCTCCTACGCTGGACCGAAGGTAATATTTCCAAAATATTCACTGTATGAAAGTTCAACGCTCGGTTCCGAGTTCAAGCTTGAACTTGAATGTGAATCTGTCCTTAGCCCAACATAGCTTCATCAGACAATGTAACCGCGTTGCAATTTCCAATGTCCTAAATGTGCCTCCCATCCCTTCCAAGCTCGGTACTAATGTGTCTTCGTAGCTTTCCGTGTCCAGAGATGGACCCACGTTTTGGGTCTTTCTAACAACTGCCTGGCTCAGCAGCACTCCGAAAAGGACTGCCGAAGCAGCTATCGGTGCAAGAAGTGTCACCGGAACCATCATACGTTCTTGCACCAGGACGATGGCCCACACACGCGCTTCTCTCGACTAACAACTAGCGCAGCATCTCCAGCACGGTCTCCACCTCTTGAATCCTCGAAAAACAAGGCCCACGGCAACTCATGCACGCAATTGTGGAGTCCCGTCCACCTTTTGCAGCCTTGCAAGGGCGGGGGGAGAGAATGCTCAGGACAGCAGCTGTAACCCCAGGCTAATAGCCTGTTATCGCTGCTGGGTACTGCACTCAGTTAACAGCCGGTTACATCGCTCTGCCTTGTTTTCGCTCTCTTGGTTTTGTGCGCTCTTACGCACGTCGCTCACCGTTGTCTGAGCATATATGTGTAGCAAGGTAATAAATAGTGAGGCATTCAACTAGTATTTAAAATAGCATACAGCGCGCATTGGTATTTACCGCACCATCGATACACTCGGCGGGAAATACCAATAGTGAGATATCGGATAAGAAACATCGATAATAGAGTAAGTGCACTTTGTAAATGGCGATTGCGAGAGACGGACGCGCAGCTAATAAAAAAGAGTTACATCAAATCGCCGGGCTTGTGTTTTTATACCTATACAGTTCACTCACGCACCGATATTGGTCACTACAATTCCCGGGTTAGACGGCCTACATATGTTAGAATCAGTTACGTTTCCACCCTCGTTTCAACCTGTCGCGTCGTGCACATATTCATACACAATTATCATAAATACGAAAATACACTGAATCATTTTCTTTTCTTGGAGCAACAACAACTTGAATCTTTTCTTTTGGATATTTTCCCACTCGTCGCTGGTTACCAGCTCCGGTGATCCGCCCTCCTACAAACAATAATTAAAGAACTTTTGGAACTAAATAGTGTGAATATTTTTTTTATATTTAGAGTAAAAAAATTGTTAAAAGTACAATAGTTTTTATATATATATACATTTTACTACATACAAATGTATTTATTATCATAGAAAAATTATTATGTTTATGGTAATTATTCGGACCACTTAATTGAACTTTGATGTACATATATAAACCTTTCTTATAAAGCTATCATTCGTAACAAGTTCAATAATATCTGAGTCAGATTTAAAGTTACAAAAAATTGTGTATGTCTAACAGTAGGGCTTTATTTCTGAAACAATTTTAGTAAACGAACATCTAAACTGATATTGAGTAGTTTGTTTCTGTGTAGGCCTGATAGGAATTTTCTGTAAAAGATAAAAAATGTATAGCATTAGTAAATATGTGTGTTGTAGATGTTCAAATTGCTTTTATTCATGTAACAAATACAAAACAATAGTCTTAAAATTATGTAAAGTTATGAAAAGTATTTGTTTTTGGCAGACAATACGCCTTTGACTTAAACTCATAATTATCAAAGCCATGCAATTTTTTGCTGCTTAATTCTTAATTCTTAAGTCTTATGACCTGCCAAGACGATCATCTAGTGGTCCACAGAATGAGGCTATCAATATTAAAAGTTGATGAAATCTATTTATTTATTTATTTATTTATTTATTAAATTAACAAATTATCTGTTAATAATGGTACTTAGTTACTAAAGGCGGAAAAAGAGAAGTTAAAAGTTAGCTAAATTTAAGTGACTATAAATATTGCATGCAATTAGTTTAAGAGACAGTTCAGGGGATAGGGTTTGGCAGAGGGAGTTATAATTATGGCATAAAACCCTAAAAGGTTCATGATCAGCATAATTAGACCTACTTATGGGTAGACGGATAGGCCTAAAAGTACGGGTAGGTCTAGATGGAACGGCCAAGTCAATCTGACCCAAGAGAGTTTGGGAGTCAACAGTCCCGAGAAGGAGCTTGTGCACGAACATTACGCCATTGCATATTCTGCGATGGTGCAACGACGGCAGGTCAATAAGATTTAGCCTAGACCGGTAGGGTGGCAAGATTCTACCCGAGTCCCAGTTAAAGTTCCGAAGGGCAAAAAATAAAAATTGCTTTTGCACGGATTCAATAACAACCTGCTGCTCTTTATACTGCGGGCTCCACACACAAGAACAATATAGGACGTACTAACGAGATGTACAGTTGTTTCGTAACGTACGGGTCGTCAAACTCCTTGGACCAACGCTTGATGAACGCTAAAACACCCTTAGCTTTATTTACAGTTGCAGCTATATGGGTGTTAAAACACATCTTATGATCAAAAAGGACTCCGAGGTCATTTGAACTCGAAATTCGCTCAAGGAAATGATTTCCTAGAACATATGGGACAAAATAAGGAGCGCGACGGTAAAATGTCATAAGTTTGCATTTGGAAAGGTTCAGAAAAAGAAGATTAGTTGAACACCACAATAGTAGTTCACTTAGATCAAGTTGAAGGCGTGTGTGCAAATACCAATCAGAGTAAGAAAGACAGATTTTGACATCATCAGCATACATTAGTGTAGTAGAGTATGTTATAACTTGAGGAAGGTCATTCACAAATAAAATGAACAGAAGCGGGCCCAGATGACTTCCCTGTGGCACACCTGAAGTAACATTTACAGTATTTGACAACACGTTAGAAAACAAAACACGTTGAGTACGGTTAGAGAGATAGGACAAAATCCAATCTAGAAGATTCGTTGGGAACCCTAATAAAGAGAGCTTGTGAATAAGCAGAGCATGGTTCACAGAATCGAATGCCTTGCTGAAGTCCGTAAAAACTACATCCGTCTGCAAACCAATTTGAAAACCACGGTGGATTAGGTTAGAAAACTCAAGAAGGTTAGTCGATGTTGAACGATGTCTGAAAAAACCGTGTTGCGACGGAGATATCAAGCTGCAACAAAGATGTTGCAGTTGCCGGGTGACCAGGAGCTCAAGAAGCTTCGGGATGGCGGAAAGCTTTGCGATACCACGATAGTTTTCAATGTTTGATCTTGAACCTTTTTTGTGAAGCGGAATGATGTAGGACTCATTCCAAATTACTGGGAGACAAGGCTGTTCCAAGGAGAGGTTGAAGAGAAAGGTCAAGGCTTTGCAAAGGGACTGGGCACAGTGTTTTAAAATCCAACTTGGTACCTTATCTGGACCCGCAGAAAACGATATGTCCATAGATGACAAACCTTCCAGAACAACGTGTTAATGTGTGTGTGTGTGTAGGAAGCTGGGTTGCATACGGTACATAAACCGTCTACAGTTTGGACGTCGCAACTAGAACTTGAACCAGTTGGACTGCGGAGTGGGTATCCTACGGTGCGCAAGGGAGGGTCTGAAGACACGGCGGCAGCCTCTGATGATTGCGATGGAAGATGAGTGACAGGCAGTTATGGTACTGTTTCTGATACTGATTTTATTGACAAAAATGATTCTTATTTATAGGTAATAAAAGGTACAAAAGTGCTGAGTCTGTAAAATATATGTTTTGTGTATTATGGATAATTTTAGTGTCTGGTGGGCAATTGCGACATTTTATTGGTCAGCAACTGCCTCCGCTGTCTTCGCACTCTGCGGAGAGAGTGCATTGTCAGCAGAACTCACTGCAGTGGCGGAGAGAGTGCATTGTCAGCAGAACTCACTGCAGTGGCTAGTGTGTTGTCAGCAGAACTCACTGCAGTGGCTAGTGTGTTGTCGTGAGGTATTATATTGCATGTTAAATGGAACACTGTGTCGCGGTGTCACTGTGTTATGCCGACGGGTCTTATAAGCTATTACTTAAGCATACTTCTGCAACTGAACATTCTCCCGGCCGTTGAAACTGTGTTCAACCATCGTTCAAGTCGACGGTAAACCGGCGTGCAAGGGGTATAGGGGGTGATGACATGGCTGGATCGGGATTTGATGGCCTTGGTTTCCATAGTTGATACTTCTTCCGGAAAATGAAGGCAATGATCAGTAGAATTGATATTGCTAGGGCTGCATAAGCAACGAGTTGATGGTGCTGCACGGTGGTGAGATGGTGTGGCAGCTCGTGCTGATTGATGGCTGATAGTTGCTGGCGTAGATCACCAAGCTCTTGAAGGAAGTCTGATGTCTGGTTCTTCAGTTGCCACATTGGTGGCGAGGGTGATGTCTCCGGTGGGTTCACGTCACCAAATCGAGTGTAAGTCGATTTTACTTCGCTGATTGTGGTGCTGAAGGTACTGATGCTTACTTTAGGATTGCGAGCAGTGCAACCAGGGGCCATGGAGAGTAGCCCAGTTCCTTCCAGTGTTATGGTTGACGGAACTCCGTTGCATACTGCTTGAAGTTTAGTTGTAGAATGCGTTGCGAAGATCCATTTATTTGGATGCTGAGTTTTTAGCCACACCGTGTCAGCCTTTGTGTGTGTTACCTGACACAGTGTTTCTGTTTTATTGTTAAACAGTTGAAACTCACAGCGATTGTCCACATTGAAGATCGTCTGGTGGTCAAAGCAGATGAACTCCTCGTTGTGTACTTTAAGACAACGTCGGAATTCCTCTTGGGTAGTGCCCATGAACTGGTCTCGGTGGATGTTAACTGTTACTATGGTGGTCCTGAGGTCAAATAGACTCCAGCTTGTTGAATCCCAAAACGGAATTGGGATGATGCTGAAGACTTCGAGCTGAGCTGTTGAGACCAGCGGTAGCGTCAGCTTGAAGATGACGTGCTTTGCAGTAGGGGTTCCTTCGGCTCGCATGATTCTGTATAGTTGAATCACCTCCTTCGTTGTGACCGGCAGCATTTGATCTTGTGGCAAATGATCCCGTATCTGGTCTAGTTGGTCTATTAGTTGCTCGGGCGACACCAGAGTGGGGCTTATTCTCCGATGATGAATACCGATTGGGACATCAGATATGTCGGACTGCATTCGTTGGAGAGTTGTTGTGAGCAGCGTTAATTGTGCTATTAGTCCTAAGTACGCTTGAGTCAGATGATCGCTGTGATACGACCCTCTTTCTCGGTTGATAGTAGCCAAATGCTGTTCCAAAGTTTTTAGGCGATTATCAGTTGTTAATTTGTCCTTTCTGACTACGTTTATTGTCGCGTCGACAATTGATGTTTGGTTTTGGAGCAGATGTAGTAGAAAGTCTTCATTGGTTTTCACTTTCTCAATCACTTGAGTCATCTCTTCTGCGTATTTTGCGTCGAGAACACCAAACAGGCTGCTTGCTACATTTCCTATGATGTCCAGCGGCGATCTGCGTTTTCGAGAGTTTTTCATTAAAACGCTTCCTGCTTGTAGCTCGTTATACACATGTTGAAAGTGTTGAACTATGGAGTTGCATGCCGGAACATTTTTTAGTTCAGGGCACATGTATCGTAACTCTGAAATTCCGGCAGACATTAGTTGCATATCCTTCCAATATGGGTCCAAGTCATAGTATACGATTATGGTCCACTCAGACGTTGCTATTCTTGATGTTCCAAGTTTTTCATAAAATATTCCAGGCTTGTTTGCGAATTGTGTCACATTTATTGACTGTGACAATGCTAATGGAAGCATGAGCAACAGCACCACTAACGTTGATGTTAGTGTAGGTGACAATTTTGTTGTTCGCTGTGTGGGTGGCTCATCAATCTCCGTGGTGTCACTGATCACGTCGGGGTCACCAAATGTTAATGTGTGTGTGTGTGTAGGAAGCTGGGTTGCATACGGTACATAAACCGTCTACAGTTTGGTCGTCGCAACTAGAACTTGAACCAGTTGGACTGCGGAGTGGGTATCCTACGGTGCGCAAGGGAGGGTCTGAAGACACGGCGACAGCCTCTGATGATTGCGATGGAAGATGAGTGACAGGCAATTATGGTACTGTTTCTGATACTGATTTTATTGACAAAAATGATTCTTATTTATAGGTAATAAAAGGTACAAAAGTGCTGAGTCTGTAAAATATATGTTTTGTGTATTATGGATAATTTTAGTGTCTGGTGGGCAATTGCGACATTTTATTGGTCAGCAACTGCCTCCGCTGTCTTCGCACTCTGCGGAGAGAGTGCATTGTCAGCAGAACTCACTGCAGTGGCGGAGAGAGTGCATTGTCAGCAGAACTCACTGCAGTGGCTAGTGTGTTGTCAGCAGAACTCACTGCAGTGGCTAGTGTGTTGTCGTGAGGTATTATATTACATGTTAAATGAAACACTGTGTCGCGGTGTCACTGTGTTATGCCGACGGGTCTTATAAGCTATTACTTAAGCATACTTCTGCAACTGAACACAACGCTTTCCTCGAAAAAGGGCAGAAAAATGCTGTTAGCTTGAGGTAGCTGGTACGGATACGGAGTGGATGCGTT